AGAGAGAGAGAGAGAGCGAGGAGGGGAAACCCTTTTAAGGCACCGAGCACATCACGAAGTTGTTAAACTCCGTCACACAAAAGCCAAAACATTAACGTTTTATACACCAAGTCGCAAAAGGGACGTAAAGCGGTGTTCATCCATTCAAACGAAAACTACGTGAGGTTTCTGAGACGGCCGAAACTCATAATCGTAGTTGTAATCGCCATTGGGCATGGGTAACCGCCGTGTCCTGGATGGTTTGGGGCTGTGCATACGATAGAGCCCGAGTTCTTCCGGCGGTTCATCCCTGAGGTCTGTCACATCCGTAACCGCGTATACTCCCTCAATGGAGTTGTTGCGATTGCAATATGGCGCCTCGTAGAAGCCCTCTGCAATCCCGTTGGTTTTGCCGTGAGGTAGATCATAAAGACCCTCCTCCTTTCTCGGTATCAGTCTTGGTTGATTCTTAGCTGTATCATTGTTTGGCTCAACATAAACAAGAAGTTCGGGTCTGTTTGGTGGTGAGTAAGAAGGACGTTTTTGTCGTTTTCCTCGTGTAACGTATGCTATGAGCCCGAGAATTGTCCCGGTTGCTACAAGACAACCCACGGCGGACAAACTCAGATATAAAGAGCTCATCCGACATTTCAAAGAGCCTTCAGACAGTCCCATCAAAGGTTTACTGTAAAATTCTTCATCAGCGCAGAGGATGTCACTGCTGTCTACATCCAGATGACTCTCATTTCTCTGTCCCTCTGTGTGGATGACGTTCCACAACCATTGGACAGAGCAGTTGCAGACTAGAGGATTTCCACCTACCCTGAATGTCGTCAGATGATCAAGTGGAAACTGCGTTGGTTGCAATGTTGATAGGCTGCAATGACGGAGAGAAACTGTTCGAAGATTCTGGTAGCTTCCATACAGAACTTTTGGGGGTAACTCCTCCAGCTCTCGATTACCATCTAGATAAATTGTCTCTAGATTCACATTGTCTGCGAATGCACATCCATCTATTCTCCTGATTCTGCAGCTCCGAAGATCCAAATATTGGAGCTCTAGTAATTTTCTAAATGCCAATGATTCCAATGTGGCTAAACGATTCTTGGATAGGATAAGAATGGATAAAACATTGAGTTTCGATAACGCTGCGGTTGGTATTTCCGATAAATGGTTTTCTTCGAGATTGAGGTAAGTGAGGATTTTCAATCGTTGGAATGCATTATCGGCGATGCTTTTTATTAGATTGTTGGCGAGATTCAAGTATTTTAGGGATGTGAGCGTACTCAGTGAGTCGGGGGGAATCGTTTCTATAAAATTGGTGGCCAAATTTAAATTTACTAATGTTGGAGTTAGGAGGAGATTACTAGATGGCATTTCGAGGAGTGAATTCCTTGATAAATCGAGGATGATTATTGAGGGAAGATTATTCAATAATCCCTTCGGCAAGCTCATCAGTGAGTTGCCACTAAGATTCAGATACTCCAGTTTATTAGTGGAGTGAAATGACTGCTCCTCAAGATCTGTTATATTGTTGTTACTGAGGTCGAGGTTCCTCAGAGAGATAAGACCCTTCAGGGACTTCTTGGTGATATTACGGACGGCATTGTTGCTGACATTTAGTGTGATCAGATTCTCTAACCACTGAAAATTCTCGTAGCCCAGTGTGTGGATGATGTTTGACGATAAGTCTAAGCTCTCGAGATTATTGTAGAGGCCAACCTCGTGTTGGAGGGAGGCGATGCGATTGTTGGACAGATCCAGATGGTGGATTTCGGGGTTCAGCTGAATCGGCACAACGTCCAAACTGGCGAAGACACAGGATGCACGTAAATGTTCGTCCTCGCAGCGACAGCTGGCGGGGCATAGGTCACTACTGATGACCGTGGTGAGGGTGATGACAAGCAGGATGATAACTGATGCCATTCCATATGAACAACTACCTTGACATTCCTGGAACAGAAAATTGAGAGATTGTTAGACGTGATAATGAACGCTTTTATTCTTGTGGATGCTTGTTTTGTAAGAAGAAATAAATGTTCCAAAGAAAATCCTGACGAAAATTATGAAGATAACTCGGAAAATTTGTATTCATGAAAATGGCATGACAATATGAAAATTGATTTGGGTTGAAGTAAAATGAACCGTCCTTAATGAAATTTTTTTCATTTTTTGCTTTCGAATGGAAGCTATATAATCGTTGATTTTGACGATCTTCTAATTTCACCTGGAAATGATGTAGAATGTCATGAAACGTGAATATATGATGTTTTTAGAAAATGTGTGTATGTATGTCCGGATGTATGTGCCAATTTTTCGGAAAATTTTTATAAATCTTCACAGAAAAAGGACTAAAGTTGAAGCTAAAAATCTAAAATTTCACCAGATAATTGGTATTACTTTTAAAGCATTTCTGGGCGCAATTTCAACTTAACCGGTCATGTACTTTACGGGATACAGCAATTTCTCAAAAATATTTTTTTCCTCGGTATCTTGAAAACTACGTGACTGAATAAAATTTTTTTAGAGTCAAAATATTCCTGCTGATAATATCTATCAAATCAAACCACAATATTACTATGTAACTAGGGACACCTTGATAATAATCGGCATTTTTCATTTTTTATGAGAAAACCGTTCTGTGCACGATAATTTCCGAAAAAATGTAGGTACGATGTTGAAATTTGGTGAGATTGTAGCTCTTATGGTATTGCAAGATGGGATTGTGGGTAGGCAAAATCGGACAAGTGGTTTAGAAGATATTCAACTTTTTGTGAAAAACTGTCTTGTTCAATCTCTCCCAAACTACTGATCCGATTACTTTTTTTTTTCAAAATACTCGCCTTGTCGCCCTCTATCAAGATCAACAAAAATGTGAATACCCATTTACGCCAAGTTTTCGAGATATTCGCGTTTTTCTAATTTTTTCAATTAAGAGCTAATTTGGCGTTTCATAATACGCGTAAAACTTGGAACAAAGATCTGAGATTTTGGCTACTAATTATTATTATTGAGTCACCCTTATGTATAAAATTTTGTGTCGATCGATTCAATACATCCTGGTATGAAGCAATTTATTCAAAAATCTTTTTTTCCAAATTGTCACAAATCGTCATTTTATTGGTTATTTTCGCGTCTGTGGGCTTATTCTCGATTTGTTTTACTAAACCAATTCTCGTCGAGATATCTCGTCTCTTATGACATCTCTCTTGTCTCGTCTCGATTTGGCCATAACGATTTGGCCAGGAATCGGTCCTTTGTATCATATCGTTTACCAATTTTCGCGTCACGTCTCGTCTATCGTGGCAACACTAATAACCATCACCAGAGTTGGCAACTTCACTAACATCAATCGGTTTTAAAAGGTAACCAGGATCGTAGTGGGACCTACATTATACATCCTCGCCTCCAGAATACCGTCTAGGCATTATATATCATGAGTGCATGAGGATATCCTCGAATCCTTTAGTAACGAAGCTTTATGCTAAAGGAGGATGAATAAACTAACCCAATAGATCGACGGCGGATATGACGTAGGTAAACTGGCAAGGGGTGATGACGTGAGAATAACGGAATTTTAACCTTTCAATTATTATTCGAATGGGTAATAAATATACTTATTAATGAATATTCTTTTTTCCTTTTGCTGCTCATAAAAGGCAAAACCAATTAACGACATCGTCTGTCAGGTCACTTGATTGATTGTTATTTATTGTTTTTCTCATAGCAAGCAAGTCAAGAGGAAGAAACTGCATCGAGGGAGTTGTTCCTTATAATTAAACCATTCCAGGAATATAAATAGAAAAAATATCTGCAAGTGAAGAAGATAAAAATTATATTGCTTTTATGATTACTTTCAATAATTTCTTGAATTTTTGTTTGATGGGGTAATACTAACCATCCAGCTAACAATTTTTAGGATATTTATACATTTACACAGCGAAAAACCTGAACGTAAATTACGCATAGGAAGTCGTCTTTTACGCTTCCCGAAGCGTACTTCACGCTTGATGTTGAAACATAAATTACGATTACATGAACGTAATTGACGATTTTGTATTCGTAAATTACGCTCGAAGCTGTCGTAAATAACGATGATTGTTTTCGTATTTTACATTTACTCATCCGTAATTATATATATCCGTAACAGGTTTTGATAAAGTGATAGAAATGCGATGGTTTTATATTTTGTTGTATAATTAAAGTAAATCTGAATAATTGAATCAACATTTCAATCTCTCGAAAAAAGAGAGAGATAAACGAGATAGATCGAATTGCATTCGATGAAAAAAATCGTTGTTCATGAGTTTGAATTAATTATTTATTGATTAAAAATTAGGATGGTATGCGTGGGTTGTATGCCTGTTGTTGTTGATTGATCTATTCAATAGTCCGTAGGTAAGTGCCAAAATGCTTCTGGAATAGAAAAATTATTTCAATTCAAGCTCAATCAGTTTTATTCCAAGGATATTCGCAGTATTTGTTAAATTTTAGCAAAAGGAGAATCATTCACCCTCAACCGTATTTCTGAAAATAACGACTAAACTGAAAATTCCTTCAAGAACTTTTTTGATAGCTAATATTCTCCGTACAAAAAAGGTCTCTGACTAACTAATTTTACTATCGCCGTTAATTTCAAAATATGCCGAGACAACTCACTGTGAAAAGAAATCGATTCAACTAATTAATTATATTAAGTTGCTAATACTGTAAACAAAAATTGATTTGAAATGAATCGTGACCTAATGTGGGAAAAAAGATATTTCAAGGGCAAAATACGAGGTTCTTTTCGCAAATTATGCGTAAGAAAATGGTAAAATACGTTCATTATAAAGATTTGATAAACATAAATTACATTTTGATAAACGCAACTTACATTCAGGTCTTTCGGCGTGTGGTAGGTTTTATTTTAGAAATTATACTACCTATGATGTTCCTGTCCTTTTGTATACGGTTATTGCCCCATAACGACCCTTGCAAGAAACTCAAAACGTCAACTTGTCAACTCTTTACGAGGAGCGTTTGGTCCGCAATGTATTACGACAAATACGCTTGGATAACGGTTATCACCGTGAGGGATACTCAAGTAAATGTGCTATACTTTTCTGTAGATTCTCATTAATGCTAGCCGGTTTATAGGGAAGCGATTTCGTAATGTTCAATAGGAGATAAATGTGCAGGTTGTATAATTTTTAGAGGGTTTTGATAGATAAGGTATTGGATATAGATTTTATGGGGTTTAAAATATTGGGGAGTTTTCGGTTTAAATAATGCTATCCAAATGCTATCAAATCCAGGAACAAATGGAAATTAGAATAAAAACATTAATTGATTTAATTGAAAATCTACGCTATGTCGGGTACAAATTCAGAAAATAGAAAATTGTCTTTCTTGATTTTTTTTTGAAACGCAGCTATCTATCTATTAGTTAAATAGCCGGTCCTATCGAACAATTCAAGTAATCGTGGAAAAAACTTGATTTTCAGTGCTTTTTCACCAAAAATGGGGGAAAAAGTTCGAGATTAATAGCGAATTTCACTTCGTCGGCCCGGAAAAATTTACTGAACTTGAATTACTATTTTTACCGAGAAAATCGTAAGATAACCACTAAAAAATCAGTATTTTTTCACTGAATTACGTTTCGCTTTACGATTACCATTCGAATAGTAAAATTTGGCTCGATTTTCAAAGTAATTTTTATTCAACTTTTCTCTCAGTGTAGTCTTATCTTCTAAACGCAGTTAATGTCAACGAAAAGTACATCAACGTAGATAATTACCAAAGACAATTACCAATTCAATAATATTCTTCAAAAACATTCAACGACTTTATATGAAGCCAGGAAGAAATTGACGAAGAAAACAGGGCTGGTCAAGCCTTGAACCAAGGCTCACAAATGCAGGATGAGGGCTGGCATTCAAACTTGGATCAGACCTCATTGAGCCCTGAAATGATAACCACTTTCTCAGGCTGGGTGACGAGGCTTGAACAAGGCCTCTGAAGAAGGGTGCATTTAAGCCTCGAAATACCAAATATCATTGTTTTTCAAAATATTATCTCATTATTTATCTTTATTAGTGTTATTTAACGCTTGCTGATTATCCCATAACGTCCATTATCAAAAGGAATGAAAAAAAAAATTGCACCCGCCAGGATTCGATCCTAAGTGTTTCCGATCTCTTGAAATATAGGATTTCATTTTGGTATAATAAGTACTGGGCGTGTATTGTATTTGTTTTTCCGTTTCAACCATTAAAAACTGTTTTTTTTTGTATTCCAATATCTCAATGAATCAAAAACTAATTAATTCATTTTTTTAAACGAATTTTGGGAAGCCTCTCTTGCCAATGGCTGCCGCAAGCCCTGTCCAGACCTATAGCTCGGTTGGTTTGACGGAAGGTCACGGTAATGCCTATTGACTGGATAGACTTTTCTTCGTTGATAAATATGAAATTATTAACGAGGAAGGTAACAATTGGTTGGAAAGTAACCTTGGTTGAGCCTTGAGTGAGCCGTTCCGTATTCAGCCTCAATACTCCAAGCCTGAACTATGAGCCTGAATTAAGGCTCCTCAAAAGCCCCATCTATCACGCTCATTTGAAGGCTGAAGTGAACGTTAAAATCACGCCTGCTCCAGGCTTGTGTCATTGAGCCTTGCCAAACCAAGGCTCGTTCAAACTTGTTCCCATCGTCAGCCTATCTAATTCCCACTTGGGAAGTACAATCACTCTAGTATGAATAAAACCGAAACTAGATAAAACCCACAAATAAATGTGACTTTACTTAAAATGTGTTGTAAGGATATTTTCCCGGGTTGTTCACCCAGGAAAAGTCCAAACTACTTTTTAAGCCTTGTCTATCGCTCATTTGTTGGGCGCCAGCCAAACCTTCACGGAAGGTTCGACGAAAACCGGCCTCTGGCAAACTCATCCACTCAGAGGATTTTTTGGCTG